AACACTTCTGTTTGTTTAAATAGGACACACTGTCCTAGTCTTATTTTGCTGTTTACATGTTAGTGTTAACAAAGGCTCATCTCAGTACCTACCACGGGGCCAGACATTATTCTGGGAACTTTCTGTATGCTCATTCATTTATTCCCAACTAGACTGAGTTTCCAAGGATTATTTTGACATTCAGCATTATTTCTAATCAAGACTTTCTATGGTTACAATCATTAACAGAAGGTCTTCAGTTTTTGCTGCCCGTGATGGTCATCCCATAGTCAGCTTTAAGAGATCTACTCTGCTAACATTACCTACCATCAACACACAGAAAGAGGGGCAGGCATTTGCGCTCTTCTTTGGATGCCTAGTCAACCCAGGAAAGTTATTACTGAAGTTAGTCTTCAAACCCTACCATGCATGTAAACTCACTTATGTTCATACTGTGCTACACACCATATCAGCACTACAAGTGGAATTTGGGGGCTCCTATATTGTAACAGTGTTGTTTACAGGGTTGCCATGGAGCTAAGTGCAAGGGAGTTGGCTAATTACTTACTGGTCATATTACCACTGATCAAGAGTGTTCTAAAAGTGTTTTTTTAAGCTTTATATAAGCGCTATTATAGCTATGTAGTTTGGGTATACTCAGGCTGAGGCCAAAAATTAACAAAAGACTTAACGGCCAATACACCAGATGCTGCTCTCAGAGAAGAGTTCAGTATAAACTGAGCTAGCCTATCCAACCAACCTGAAGGCAGATAGAGAAAATAGGTGACCTGACAAGTAAGCCCTAGAACAAGACAAGTTTGAAGTCCAGAAGACTCAGATCATAGCTTTTCACACTGCAGAGTGCAAACTACATTGTAAAATTTATTTAGTAAGCTACAACCTGCATTTATAAATTTAAACTTAGCACAGTAGAAGATGTGAGTGCATCGCCTATGAAAGGTGCCTTGTGATATTTTATTTCCTATATGTAGATGTGTTTACTGGGCCATGGTACTGTGAAACACACTTCTACCTATGAAGCTTGCTCAAAAATATTTTAAGTCAGTGAGCTAATGAATACTAGGAACGTTCCATTTTCTACTACAATAGCATGCTACTTAATGGAAAAGGCAACTACATTCTTCATAACCAACAAGTAGACCAGTTGTTATAAGTGGATCATAAATCATAAAGAGAAACTTCCGTTCCATAAACTCTACAAAGTCACCAAACACACGGAGGCTCTTTTGTAAGGTGACACATCTGATGTCTGGAGGAGCCTGTTCTGCTTTTCTGAAAGACACAGTTGACTCCCAGAAAGTCCTTTATTATGTCAAATTGGAATAGACCAACTAGACACAGCAGTCCTTCAAATTGGGTGTGGGGCGTGTGCAGGCGGACATGTTTACAAGTGCATTAATTCTATTTCCCTTTTCAGAATAAACATGAACTCACTGCAGAAGTTTAGAAAATACCAAAAACACAAATGAGAGAAAAAAAGAATAACTAGTCACAATCTAGCATCCCAGAGCTAACATGAGAGCCACACTGACTGGACCTCCTTAACCAAATTCTTTTTTTCCTTGTGTGTAATGAACATTGTCTTCCAAGTAAAGCTTCTACATTACTATAAGGGCAACATAAGGCAGATGTCTCTAGCAGATGGCTGTGTTATAAATGTATTTCAAAAATTCCATTACATGGAGTATTTCTAAGCTTCGTTATAAAATTTGATATGAACATTCTCACATACATTTCCTTGTGATAATTCTTGGATCTAAGTGATCAGATTAAAGGTCTGTAAACTGCAACTCTTTGACAGGAAGTAGGAAACCATTCCCCAGAAAAGGCATCCAATGTGCTTCCTACTGTTGACACTAACACTTCACTGAAATAGGTCTTAATCTGTGTTATATCTGGTATCAAAAAATTTGGTATCAGAAAAAGTCTGTTCTATTTTAACTGACAGTGAGGCTAAATTGTTTCTGACATGTTTATTTGACATTGTGAGTTGCTTGATAGTGCCTTCTCTGTCTTTTGGAACTCAGCTCTTTATGTATGTGAAGGTTCTTACACCTGATGGAGCCTCTTGTCAATTTGGATACTGAACACCAGGCTTGCTTAAGAAGGTGGCTTTTAAAGTCCACCATAGCTCTCTCTCTCTTTCTCTCTCTCTCTCTTTCTCCTCTCTCTCTCTTCTCTCTTTTGATCACTTAGTGACAAACCCCCGGCAGAAGCAATATGAGCTTTGCTTGTTGGTGTAGATGGAGAGTGGTCATTTCATATATTCATGCTCTGCACTGGAAAACTAAAGCTTTCCCCTGTGGTAAGGTAACCAATACTAGCAGTAAAAGCCCCTCTCCAGAGACATCGCCTGCCTCTTTTCAAAATGTCCAGCAGTGGCATAAAACTTCAGACCACAGAAAACCATAAAGAATAAACCCTCTTATTGTTATGAATTCCAGGGTTAGAGCCCTCCTCCACAGCAGAGGGAAACTTGCTTAATGCATCCCACTCAAACACTAAGGAAATATGCAGCTCCAAAGGCCTCCAAAACAGCAGCCAAAGAGGATACCCAATGTGGTTCCAGGGTCTGCTTCTCAGACGAGGCTCTGGCCCACAAAAGCACCCCAAACTCCTTATATAGAAAAGGTGTGGTGTGCTGGGCATCACAGTGTATGCCTTTAATCCAAACATTCAGGAGGCAGAGACAGGTGGATCCCTGTGAATTCAAAGCCAACTTGGTCTGCATAGCAAGTCCTAGTCCAGCCAAGGCTACATAGTGAACCCCTTTCAAAAAAAAAAAAAAAAAAAAAAAAAAAAAAAGTAGAGGAGATCCTTTGCTTGCTTGCTTTCATAATCATCTTCCCTCTTAGCCAAGCTAAATACCAACCGGATTGGACCACCCCTTACCTAGCCCTGTCCTAACTCCCACCATGGTGTGCCTGTCATTCTGTTTCTAGTATCGTCTTCCTCAACTTTATCCCTAAAGTACAAATTTAAGCAAAGCTTCCAAAGCTCCTACTCATGGGACAGATTAGATAGGCCTATAGTTCACCTGGCAGCTGGGTCCTTAGGAGACACCAGCTGATCCTGCCTGTGTGTTTAGACAACAGGGAGCATGCCCTTCTGCATCTATCCATTGACCAACTCTGCAGCCCTGAAGTCTCAGCTGAAGGATGAACTTCTCTTTGGAGTGTTTCCTGGTACGGTTCTAGCAGGCGGAACTCAGTGCCCTTCCTCAACACTCAGTGAGTGAGTGCCCTTACTACATACAGCCTAGAAAATTAAATGAATAGGTTTTCTTATCTGTGGGATGCCAAATACAGCTAAGTCTGCTTTGGGATCTCCAGGTACCCTAATTACATGGTGTAGTAATGGACCGTTTTATCAGAGTTCCCTGGAGTGTCAGCAACATCTTATGAAATACCTAGCAACCCTTACTTTGTCTGAGACATAGAAAATGCTCAAGAAAGCCATCTTGATGATGATTTCACTTAATGAACATAAATTACTTCAACAGCATCCAATAACTTTTATCCTGGATAAGGGAGATAAATCAGAGAATACCTACTACTATTTCATAGTTATGAGAAGATTCTTGTTCACGCTCTACATCCCTGATTTTAAAAATATCAGTAACCTCTATTGCACTAGAGATAACCTTTGTTATTCATGCAGGCCTGTGAGCACATACCTTTTGCATAAGGTAAAACACAGGCATTAGTCATTGGTTATATACTGAAATACAGGATATCAAACATAGCTTGCCTGTACACACACTAAGCACTTAATGATTATTTTCTTGTTTTAAAGAGTGGGATCGTGGGCTGATGGTCTTGACTGCAATTATCCTCCTCCTTCCCGGAAAAGGTCTCCACATGGAGCAGCGAACCCAGTGGGTTATGGGTAGTGGTAACCATGCCCAGGCCAGAGCTGACTGCTCTAAAAGAATGCTTGATCCAAGTAGCAATCAGCCTTTCTTTCTTTGGAGTTTTCTTTGTAATCTCGGGATAAGGATGATTTCGATGAATCCCTTTATAGCAATGGTGAGAGATGCCGCCAGATGTGTCGTGAGAGTTGTGGGTGGGCGTGTTCCTGCTGGGCTGCGAGAACGGCACACGCCCATTTGTAGTTCAAAGAATGGAGCCCACATGGAGAACGACAGGGGTGAGGTGTGGTGGTAGTCCCAGACAAGAACCTTGGTGATGTTCAATGGCTGGCCCCTTTCGTCACTGAGAGCCTGCTGCACCCTGATCCTTCCCACCGTTTGGTTGTGGGAGATGCACACATACTTCCTTCTAATAGATTTCCAGTAGGCTGGGTCTGGCTGTCCCTTAGTCATTGCCAGGAATACAACAGAATGATATGGAGAGACAAAAGAAAAACTGATCCCTCTGAATCTTACCCCTACAAATTCAACCAGACGCTTTGGCATAATGAAAAAATAATGGACCATGAGGTTCCTATTCAAAGGCAGGAGGAAGATACTCATGTTAAAATGTACAGACAAAAACATGCCAATTCAGACCTCCAGGACTTGGCCTGGCCAGTGTCTGGCTTGCAGAGAGAGATGTGTCCCCCGTGAGTTAAACACAGGCTGGCAGTCTCCAAAAACTGCAAGGTTTCTTTTTGCAGCATTTTTTTTTCCTTGCAGGCCCCTCCAATAATGCAAAAAAGCATGAAGAAATTTTCTAATCTAGAAGTGAATCTTCCTAATGAAGAGAACAAAACATTATGATAAGCTGCCCTTCTTCAGCCATACTTCCTATTGAAAGTCACAGCTGAACACAAGAGCCCCCCCCCCCATGACACCAGCAACAGGCCAGCTGTCTCCCCCTGTTGCTACCACAAGGGAACAGAGCTACAAAGACTTCTGGGATGCCCCAAAGCCAGGCACTGACTGGTGGTGTAGAAGGAGGCAGTGGCACACCTCCTTGCCTAACAGCATAACTTCCCGGGCTGCAGCTTCTCAGGAACAGCATAACTTCCCGGGGCTGCAGCTTCTCAGGAACTGGCGCTTACACTTTGATGCTCTGGCTGCCCCTGGCTCTCAGTCTTCCTGTCCGGCTGCCTGGCCCCTCCTCTGAGGCTTGATTCTGAGGAGCAGCAGGGCTTCTGTTCTGTGGTGCATCCCCATTTTTTCGAGTTCGTTTTTCTTTGGATTGCTGCTTAGACATACGGATGCTGTGCCTCTGGGCATAGCCCTGTCTGAGCTCAGTGGTGTCTTTAAGAGCTTGTGTCTCTTTGGCCCGCAGCTGGCTAGGGGCTGCAATCTCCTGCTCCGGAGGATTTCCAGAGACCCCTCTCTTCTGAGACCTTTCCTTTTTTTGAGCCTGTTCCCTATGCGCTGACTTGGCAGGGGGCTGTGGAGGCTGAGCTTCTTGGATTGGGTGATTTTCACCGAGGACCAGTTCCTTTTCTTGAGCTAACCCATCAGACATTTCTCCATTTGGGGACACACCTACAGACTGAGCCAAGTCCTTCTTTCCGGAATTGTGTGCTTTGCGGGTTTTCTCCTCCTGGTCCTGGGGGTCTGCTGGCACTACTTCTGTGTGGCTCAGAGGGGACCTGGTGTCAGGGAGATCAGACACACTCTTAGGAGTTGGCTTGCTGTGGGATTCCGACTGCTGGGCTGTCTGAGACTTTCTGGCTGGTATCCTTCTCGGGTGTGGGGACCCTTTAGCTGTCTCTCTCTGCCTGAGATGTTTCTTCCTAGCATCCTTCTGCTTAGCAGCCTCTTGGCTGTGAGGGGAAGCCTGCAGATCTGGAATCTTCTTGCTGGAGGCATGGCCTACTTTGGGAGTTTTTCTTCCCTTTGCAAGCTTCGAAGCTGGCCTTGGCCCAGTGTTCTGAGGCAGCCGAGGTTCCACGGGGGGAGCAGGAATGTGTGGGAGATGGACTGTGGGTGTCTCCTCTTCCTGGGGAGGGTTGGGGGAGTGCTGCTGGGCTTGTTCCTCGGCTGGGGGGCTAATTAGAGGGAGTTTCACCTCTTTGGCTTTTCCAGCAGGGGCTTGCTGTGGACTATGGGCTGCGTTAGGGCTTGGGTTTGAGGGTGGTTTGGACTCGGGAGGGCTGATGAGAGGAAGCTTATTGGGGTCACCCTGAGTTGGGAGAGACCTTGGAGAGGCAGCTGGGGTCTGATCGGAGCTTGTCCCCAAAGCCTCTTCCCTGCTGGGAGAGAGAAGCTTGGGTGTGGGTCTCCTGCTCTGGAGAGGTGCCAGGGTCTGGGGCTGGGGCAACCTGGTAGGGGCCAGCCGGCTCCTAGGAAGCAAGGCCACTGGCTGTTCCCTGACCTGGCTATGTTTTGAGTTCGTGGATGGGTTTTGGGAAGGTGGAATTTCTGGGTAAGGAGTACTGGCCCGCACAACTTCTGCTTTGGGGGTTCCCTCCTGCAGAGGTGGTTGAGGGTCCCCAGTGGGCCTCACTACATCAGAAGGGGGAGGGTCTTCTGGAGGATTGTGAGGGGAACTGCTGGGCACAGGGTTGGCTGGCTCAGTTCCCTCATCCTGCATTCCCTGAGGACTGAGGGAAGCTGGGTCAGGTCCAGCTTCAGCCGGTTCAGGGAGGGGTGGGTTGCTAGGGGCTCCTTTGATCTCTCTGGATTCCGTATCCTGGTCTGGTTGAGGGCTGGGTGGGAGAGGAGGGTCAGGTTGCTGAGGTGGCTCTTGAGATGCAATGGTAGAAGACTGGCCTTCTGCTTTTAGCTCATGGGGCCCAGGCTCTTCTTCAGGCCCCTCCATCTCAGTGGTTATCTTTGGAGGAAGGTCGGCTGGCTGACCATCCCCTTCCTTGGTCTGAGGTGGATCCAGTTGGCTGCTGGGAGAAGGATCCTTCCTAGGGAGCTGTCCCTCCTCTGTTGACTCTTGGCTCTGTAGGAGGCCTGGGTCCTGACTGTCGCTCTTTGCATGAGTCTGCACTTCCGGGGGAGCTTCTGGGTTTTGGTCATTTGCTTGCAGTCTTGCTAAGCGCCTGGGGGAGGGGACCAGGTGTGCTGGGACCCCAGAGATGGTCTTCTTGCTAGAGGGACCTCCTGCTTTAATATAAAGAGAAGTTAGCTACTGCTAGAAATAATCTACAAAATCCCCGTTCCCCTTGGTGTTGCACAAAACCTTTAAAAGAAAAACACAGGTAGATCTTCCCTTCTCCTTGTAGAGATGGGGTAGCCACAATTCTCCAATTTGATCGAAGTGAGGACCGTTCCTAGTGAACTGAAAAGATGAGCATTAATGAGTAAGCATCCAGACATTCGCTCAAAACCAAGTTCGGATCTGTGGATGGCAAAGAGATTTTTTCCAAATTTTTTGCTGTTGAACGGTTAAGACATAAACTGTGGTGCTGAGAGGAGTCTGTTTACTCACACCCTCGAGGCTCAGCATCCAGCAGGAACTCAGTAAGTAAGGGATGGAAGGAGGGAAGGCATGGCTTCCAAGCTTCAATCCTCAACCCCACTATCACCCTACATCTCCCAGAGGCCACTGCCAATTGTGGTACCACAGAGAGAGCCCGCTTCCCCCAGTCTTCCGGACACAGTCACCCCACCCAGCACTTGCTTATAAATGACAGAAGCCTTGGCGTGCTTCTGGTGACCTAAACACCATCTTAAACCAGCCCAGATGGCACATCTCTGAACCATGCAGTGGTCGTGGGTGACCCATCAGTCTGGAACAACTTAGACGAAACTAGTCTGAGTTTAACTTGGGAGAGACTTTGGTGGTCCATCTCTAGCAGCAAATGTGTCCCCGACCACTGTCCCCTCCCCCAAGGAAGGGTGGGTATGTGCTGCTCTAGGTTCGCCAGCAGTCTGGTCCTCTTTTGTGTCCAGTTAAACCAGATGCCCCCTGAGAGTGGAAGGGACCTGTGGGCTTACCTCCGTGGTAAGATTTCTAATGGTACCCTCTGGTCATCGCTTTTATCACCAAATTTACCACAGACGGAGACTAAAACACAACTTTAGGCAAGAAAGAATGTTAAATTGAAAAGTGAAGCTAATCAGAATGGGCAAATTTGCAGAGACCAGAAAGTAGATCAGAGGTTACCAGGGGCGGGGTATGACTACCTAGTAAGTACGGAGTTTCTGTTAGAGACGGTGAAAAACTTTGGAAACTGGTGGTAGTGATGGTTACACAATGCTGAGAATGTGGTTGAGGGCACTGAATTTCACACTTAAGGTGATTAAAATGGCAAACTAGGGCTGGCAAGATGGCTCAGTGGTTAAAGCCCTTGCTTGTGGCCAAGATCGATGACCTGTGTTTGATCCCTGGAACCCACATGGCAGAAGGGGACAATCACTTCCCACAAGTTGCCCTTTAATCTTCACACACATGCTGTCACACACACACACACACACACACACACACACACACACACACCAGTAAATAAATGCAAAAAATTCTAAAGCATAAAAAAGACAAATTATATATGCTGGTATGATGCATGCAATGCATGTATACAATTGAAAAGCAAAGCAAAAAGACAGTGAAACTCAACGCCGACGGCACTCTCCTTTTATCTTTATGGGCAGACACACAGGTTTTCTTTTCCTACTTTGATGATTTAACAGTTTAAGAAATCTGGTTAAATGACACCATGCTCTTTACTAGAAGATAAAAGCACCTCTTTATGGGCTAGCAAATTGGTCCATTTTCCCTTTATCATTAATCAGAATGAGGGAAAATATGATTTCATTTCATAACCTTTATGGCAAGAACTCAAGGCTGCTCATTAGTTCCACTTTCTTCAAGCCTGGCTAGAAGCAGTGGCAGAGAGAGACACAGGACCTATAGCAGCAGTTCTCAACCTGTGGGTCACGATCCTTTTTCTCAAATGACCCTTTCACAGGCTCGCCCAAGACCGTTGGAAAACACGGGCATTTGCATTATGATTCATAACAGTAGCAAATTACAGTTATGAAGTAGCAATGAAATACTTTTCTGTTTGGAGGTCACCTCAACATGAGGAACTGTATTTAAAGGATCACAGCTTTAGGGAGGTCGAGAACTGCTCTACAGAGACTGAAGGTGAACATACCCTTCCATGAGTTGCAAATCAAGTGAGTTTCTCCTTATGTCATAGAAACTGTACTGTTAACTTCATGCTTTGGAAACAAATACTTCCTACATTGCTCTGGAAAAAAATAAGACAGTGCCATACTTAATTGGTAGGCATTTAAAATCAACGACACCTCTAAAGCCATGGGAGCTTCTCAGCACTGAATACCTAAAGTCATTTGTGCATGCATTCAGTGAAATTCAACCAGCCTGTCCTGAGACGGTTCACAGTTCTAAGCTTAGGAGGGTGGATGCTACCCTAAGAGCAGACAGCCATGGGCTCTTCCAGCATTCTGTGTCATCCTCATTGTTACGTGGACATTATCATTGTGTTCCCAGGGACAAATAAGCATCTTATGATTACTAGAGATGAAGCCGTATATTATTACTTCAAATATTTGGGAACCGTCTTTAGGTTTCACTGACACAGGATTATCTCTTTTGGAAAGATGATGCTATTGGTGTAAGATCTTTGTTTGTACTGAAGCTCAACATACAGACACTCTTAATCCATCTGGGGAAAGCCCCAGCTCTCCAAGCCAGACTTGGGTAGTGCACCGCAACATTACATGCAGTCTTCTTTTATGTTTTAAGGAAACGATGATTTTACAATTTCATAGCTAGATTTAAGACAGAAAAGTAAGGCTTCAGATACCCATCCTGTTATCCAATTGTTCAGACTAATGTCTCATGAAATCTTAAATGTTTATTTCATTTTCTCTCCTTGGACATTTTAATTACTTTTTAAATCCTCTATACTAAGATGTTTGTTTTAATTTCTAGGATATATCCTGTCATAGAATATGACATGTATTATACACACACACACACACACACACACACACACACACACCTCACATATACATCATAGAAAAAAAAAAGATCAGAATAACTTACTTCGACGCAGAGGTAGAGATGCAAGGCCCCAAGCTAAACCCAGGATGGTACTTCTGCAGGGGACAGGCCCCTTCTCAGGGAGTCTTTACAGTTTCAGGGGGAGGCAATTATGCCTGTGCCCAATGATGACTACTTTTGTCAATTTGACACAAAACCTAGACTTTCCTGGGAAGAGAAACTCCAAGAAGAATGGCATACATTGGGTTGACCTGTGGGCACATCTGTGGGGTGACTGTATGTTAACTGTGACAAAAACTCAGCTCACTGTGGGTGACCCCACTCCCTAGGCAGGGATTCCTGAACTACATAAGGACAGGGGAATCACACTTGGCACTAGCAAGTAAGTATGTGTGCGTTCTGTTCTCTTCGCTCTTGACTGGGGTTGGGAAGTGACTAGATGCTTGACTGTTGCATAGTGATGAACTGTCACCTGAAGTTGTGAAACCCTTTGTCCCAATTGCTCTTTGTCATGCCAATTCACCACCATAGCAGAAAGGAAACCAGAACAGGCCCCATTCACCTGTATTGCCCCTTTAACCAGGTGACCTTCACCCTTGGCAAGGAGTTAACAATCCCAGAAGCCACAGAAGCCACTAACGTGACTCCTTGGGCCACTAGAGATACCCTAAAAGCTTATTAATAGTGACTACATTCATTAGAATTTCAAATATACTCACTTGAATACTGTCTGATCTATGCAATGCCACGGAAGTGGGAGTTTATCTTTAATTATCAACTGAAAAAAATAACTCCCTCTGCAAATTGACTGTAAACACGAGATAAGGTTTTTGCCTTAAGGAAACACATTCTTTTTCAGAATATTAAACCTTTTTAGAAAATACAGTTCTGTTGATGATATAGATCTGATGACTGATTGCGATCCATCTTACTTTTCAAGCTAGAATTCCATTATTCAATAACTAGATGCTTCAGTTTCGATAGGTAAATGTTTCTGAGAGTTATAACATTTTTATAAATTCTATAATTTACAGCCTTCACTGAATCAGATAGGCCTAAGCTAATTATTCCAAATAAGTAAGGTTTTATTATATAACTTTAACGTGGGAGTCTTGCCTATTAATTTGCCAAACAGCAGCACTGTAGTCGGTGTCCTGATCACTGTAGAAATAAGAAGAGCCACAGAATATCGTGATGGAGACCCCAGCTGTTGCCTGTTGTGCTAGGTCTTGCTCATTGCCCGGATATTCAGAAGCATCACACGGATACAGGCACAGTTTACACAGTTACTTTTCAGTTGTTCAGAGGACTCGGTGTTTATCCAAAATCCCCAAGAGGCTGATGTAAAAGCCAGCACACCAATTTATTAATTTACAGCGGGAGATGGGTCAGGTTCGGGGAGCAGGGCACTGTGTTCTCACGTAAGGTACAGCCCCCACAGGGGCCAGAGCCACCCGGAGGACCAAATTAAAGATCACAGGGTTGCTTGGCTAGCAAAGAATTAAAGCAAAGGGAGCCATATTTTCTCAAGAGAAAGCTCCATGGAGGCCAGAAGCTCGCAAGGCACACTGCATTGCAGCCTGTTTCGACAGCCTATTTCGAGTATTTTCTGGTTTGCCTTGCTATCCCTTAGTTACTTTAACATATGAGATACACGTGGTAAGAAAGTCAGCTAGTGTCTGTGAGTCTACTGGTACTCAGTCCAAAATACACAGACGAATTGACCTAGGAAGAGTGTTCAAAAATGCAAATGGCACAGTGAGCTTGAGTGTTTGAACTCTCTCAAGTCATGGCCCAGCCTCCCTCCTCAGTCTGCCAGGCAAATAGACCCTATCTGGACCACCAAGCTCCAGGGCATCTACAGAGCAGCAACAATCTTGGGTTAACAGTCTGCAATGCAAATATGTCCGTGTGACTGGAGTTCAGTCACTGAGGGGCCTTTAGACAAGACTATTGTTGTAGCAAACATAAATTTGCCGTTCTCACCACGTTGAGAGTACTCGTCAGTGCATTACGTCCATCAACACTGCTGTGCAATCATCACTGTTCATCTCCAGAACTCATTTCGCCTTCTGGACTCTTAAGCTCTACCCATTAAACAATGATACTCTATTCCCCACTTAGCCTCTACTCATCACACTTCCGTCTTCTCTCTGTTCCGTCATTTGACTGCTCGTAGGAATGTAATTGTGCAGTAGTGTTCTGTTCTGACCAGCCAATTTCATTCACCACACTGCCTTTGAGGGTTTCTAAACGTGAAATAACATCAAAGACCGTATACAACACACTCTTGGTCCATTCGTCCATTCATCCATTCACCATCACTGGACTCTGGTTGCTTCATCTTTTGGCTAATGTGATTGGCACTGCTATGAATAGGGAGGGAGTCTAACTCTTTCCTCAAGATCTCGCTTTCAGTGACTTAAGGGCATTTACTGCAACATTTTATATTCCTTTTAGCACAAGTTCTAATTCCTCCCTACACTTTTTAGTAAGTAGCCATCCTAATGGGTATGAGGCAAATTAGAGGGGCGAGCATTTCAAATGCATCTCAAAACAGTCATGTCCTAAAATTCTAAGCTTAGAATTCCTAGGTTCCAAGGGAAGGCTCTCAGATGTCCCTCGGGATCCATGAGGTAGGAGGGATGTATAGCATCTATTCTTCAGGACGAGAAACTGAAGCCCAGACAGCAGGGCTACCCCCCCCCGCCCTCCCCGATCACGTGTTCTGGGCAGTGAGCATTCTTTACAATGCAACATTTTCAGGACAGACAGTTCAAAGAAAGAGTAAGAAAGCTTTCACCCTAAAACTCTTGAACTAATATATACTTGATAGGTACAAAGCTCCAGTTCCACAAGGAAACAGACTTCTGGAATGCTGAGTTCTGAACCACGAGACCAACTCTTACCTACTGTCCACTTCCAAGGCACTGTCTAGTGTGTCCCTGGGGTGGGGGGTAGGGGGAGTGTCCCACTATAGACATGGAGAGGAGCAGAGTTACAGATCCAATGGGCTGATTCCTACATCCCAGAAAAAAAGTCGGAATTAAATAGTGTGAGCCAGCTTTAGCCTAGCTAATGAGGACCCACGTAACAACAGAGCTGTCTGATTTTCCATGGAGAATAAACTTGGTACAAAGGAGATAGGCTAGTACCTGTAGTTGGAGCCAAGCCCTTAGCAACTTCCTCAGTCAGCCCCAGGTATTCTCGGATGAGCTCACTTAGCTTTTTGTAGGCTACGTCCAGATCATCTACGATAAACAAGAGAACATTTTAACATACCAGGATCACGGCAAAACACAGCCAGTGTTCAATGGTCAGTGACTGCACTTCATTTTGTTACTGTTATGGCAGGTGCAGTTCTACAAGATTCTAGGGACACCTCCCCCCCTGCCCCGGGTGGGCAGGACCTATGGAGGTGAAGAGCGAGCGTTCATGCTCATGATTATATCACATCATATACAAAAGGGATATATATGCAGGTCTAATTAAGGTTACTCTAATGACACGGTGGTGCAGGATACTGTGGAGGGGGCTACCCAAGGGGTTCACTCAAATCGCATCCGCAGAGGGACAGCTTTGTCCAGCCGCTGACAAAATAAAAGTCAGAGGCTCAAAGCACAGAGAGGATTCACCTCGCTCCTTGCTGTCTAGAAGAGGGCTAGCACAGTACAGAAGACACCGGAGAGCAGCCTTGGGGACAGTGCACAGCCTTCAAGAGGCAGCCAGGCAAGAATGGGGGCTCAGGCTCACACCCCAAGGAAACGCACTCTGCCAATAAGAGCCTTCACGGGAGACCTTGGCTCAGCTGACACCTTAATCTCAGTCCCGTGGCACTGACTTTCCAGCCCTGTTGTGTCGCCCTAATCTGCTGGGTTAAGCATTAACTATGCACATCTGTATAAAACCAATTTGGATATGCAATACAGTAACAAATTTAAAGGTTTGAATAAAACAATGAAGTGAACCACATAAAATTGTCATTTGCATTATAGTTGAATACCTGAAGCATCATATGGCTTAAAGTCCCCCATTCTATCCAGGATCTCACCAAAAGGCTGTTAGGAAATTATTTATTTGTTTATTTGAGACACGGTCACACTGTGTAGTCCTGTTTGTCCTGGAACTCTCTGTGTAGACCAGGCTGGCCCTGGACTCACAGAGATCTGCCTGCCTGCACCTCCTGAGTGCTGGGACTATAAGGCATGTACCACCACCACCAACAACCTTTTTAATTACTGTGTTTATTTATTTGTTAGAGGAGATGCATACGGCAGTCAGATGACAATTTAGAGAAGTCAGTTCTCACTGGGTGTAGTGGAGCATGCCTTTAATCCCAGCATTCGGGAGGCAGAGGCAGGCAGATCTCTGAGTTCGAGGCCAGCTTGGTCTACAGAGTGAGTTTAGGACAGCCAAGGCTACACGGAGAAACCCTGTCTCAAAAAAACAGAAAAATAAAAACAGCTAGTTCTCTCCTTCTACACTCAGGTCCATGTGCAGGTGCCCCTATTGGTTGAGGCACCTCACCAAGCCTGGGTATCTCCTTATCTATGTACAGTATTTACCATTCCTTCATGGAGGTACAAAACAATATAATTAAAAACACACAGAAAATTCCACGTTTCAATAATATATCTTTCTCTGGCTTCTGCTCCAAATCAGTGGCCTTTTTTATTTGATAATTTTTTTTTGTTTTGTTTTGACCTGCCTCTTGTATTTATGATCACATTTGGGTAATTATCATATCCTTCTCCTCAAACATTCACTATTTCTTTGTGGTGATAAAATTTGATAATATCTGGGTAAAAAAAATGGTGTGTTTTATTCTAAGGTAGTTTTTGAAAAATATTTGTTTTACCCAGATACTTTCAAATTCCAATATTTTCAGTAATTGCATATCCTTGTAGAAGTAGATTATGATAAAATTACCTGAGCTTCATATGACTTTAGAAGTTTAAACATACATTTCAAATGAGATATTATCCATCTTTGTTCTCACAATGTCCTCAGGGGAAGGAATCTATGTGGCCCATCTTATACCAACCCTATTAGTCACAACTCTGTGGACTGATACAATTTAACCCTCTGATGGAAACAGTGGGGAACTGGATCTCATAGGTTCTAACCTGTTTCTGCAGCGTTCTGCAGCTTCTAATTACCCTGAATATCTCTGTCTCCTAAGCGTTTCCTTTCCATGACATAAATTGGAAAAGCAGTGATTGCATACTTCAAACATGAAAACATATTTAAAAAATAAATAAAATTGGCTGGGCATTACTGACCTGCATTGATGACTGCATCAAAATATCCTGGAAATTTCCGGTTAATTTTGACATAAACATCCACCCTAGAGATGGCGAATTCAATTTCTGCTCGACTAAATAAGCCCTTCCTCCGCAAGTATCCTTCGTATTTTTCCTTGTCCATGGGCACCACCAAGACATAGCGAGGCTCGAAATAGGAAAATTTCAAACTTCTTACGCCCTGGGTGTTTACAGAAAAGGTAAGTCAGATGCGCCACCCACTGTGAACATCACCGTGGACCGTGACAACTCGGATAGTGCACAGTTATCACTTTGAAGAATGTATATTTATCTGTAGAATCAGCTGCTATTTTCCTATAAATATTTCAAGGTTGGATACTTTTCTCTCTTTATCAAATATTAAACTATTACAGGAACCATTACAATTCATTCCACCTGGTTGTCCTCAAATTAATTGTCCTAATGAATATGGCTATTAGATATAGAAGATTACCAGACATAAAATAGGGATATTCATGGCAGTGCTGCCATTTTATTATCAAAAAGTAATTCAATTCCATATTTCAATAGGCATCCTTGAAGCACTAGAAGATAGAGATACTCCCAGGGAAAAAGGCTCAGTACCATTCTTGTTTCTAAACCAGCAACCCAGATATATGTATCTGGGGGGGGGGAGAAAAAGAGAGAGAGAAGAGAGAGAGGTACAGAGAGAGACAGAGATAATTTTAGCATCGTAATCAGACTACTGCAGTCACAAATATAGTCCTTGAGCTTGGGGGAGTTGGGGAAGGGGTTGCCAAACATAAGTGTTATCTAAAACACATCTTCTCTGTAGCAGCTACACCTTGCTACCACTGTCCTCGGCTGAGTTCACACATCTAGTCACCTGTAGCTTCCTTTTCTCTTCTCTGCGTCTCGTTCTCCTGCTAAGTTTTGTCTCCTGGCAGTAATTAGACTCTCCTGCCGCCACCATCGTCGTCGCCATCGCTGTGGCTGCTGCTGGAACCATGGGAGCCACCTTGCTTTTATGGTTTGTTAAAGTACTGGCCCCCACCATCTAGGGGCCGGTGCTTCTGCCTCCAACATTTCCTCCCTTTGCAGATGCAAAATTTTAAAGGCTGGTTGCAATAACTGCCAAAATCATTGTGCTTCCACATCTTGTAGCCTCCTTCCAGAGGGTCTAGGCCAGAGTCAGCACAGCCTGCTACCAAGTGACCACAGGATGAAGTGGTGTGCTGGAAACTGGGAGGACTGGGTTGTGACTTGGGCTCCTTTGTTCCTAGGGACTCTGTACATCCCTCAAACGCTCAGGGCAGAAGCTTCCTCCTAGGTGAAGCCTGAGAGCTGTTCCAGGCAGACTGGTAAAATCCCTTCTGTCGCAGCTCTCTTGACATCAGTTTAACTCAGGTTCAGAATTTTTGCTTTAACGATTCAGTGTGGAAGAAATACAGGCTGCTTTTAAAACAATTTCTGGACTAGTTGGTGACAAGGGCAGCCTGGGGTGGGGGGTGAGGGTGGGGGCGGGGAATACCTCAGCTGGGGAGAAGCAGGGGAATAAAACAGTTTATAGACTTGACCACCTGGAGATAAAGAGTAGTAAATTCTCAGGAAGAAAAAAGGAGGCATCACTCAGGAAGCTGCCGAGCTGGAAAAAGGTGGGCATGCAGAGATGGAACACTGCCGCACTCAAACACACATTAGTTTCTGTTTGCTCTGTCCAAGGCAGACAGTTTTTAGAATCCATCTTTAAAACTATACAGAGAAATAAAGGAGACTTCTCTTAAAGATCCAGATGCAGCCAACTGCAAAAAGATAGGAATGGGTAACGATGCAGGAAGTTGAAGAGTTGAACAAGTGTGCCCAGCTTCATTAAAGGCGGGGAACAGTTAACCAATACGGGAAGCCAAAAGGTGCCACTGTGGCCCCTCTGTGGTGTTGCAGAGGGAAATGAAGCTGATGCTCAGTGAGCAGGAAAGAACTGCCTTGTCAAGTTTTGTTTTATGGTTGTTTTAATTAAATTTATTTTGTCTGGTTATAATATTTAGTATTTGCTTAGTAAAAGTCATTTTTAAAAAATCAGCCATCACTGAAGACCTGATTTATTTAGCTGAGTTACATGCTCATTTCTCCAACAAGTGAGTAGGAAATTCATGGGTTTCCTCTGGCTCACAATTTTGGAAAATTGTCTGTCCATTCTAATTTGAGAAGGTTGGTTGTGATAAGTGGGGCATGGGGGAGGGACAAAAGTCTGAACCCTGCAAGTCTAACTTGCAAAAGTGTGAAAACATTGCGTCCAGAGAGCAACCAGTGCCAAACGACAGCCCCTGTGAAGAATGAAGGGACAGGGTGATCGCTCAGGCTGACACAGTCCTGAGGGGACAGGGGGCCGCCCACGCCTGTACCCACTTCGTATAAAGGAAGACGTGATGCGGTAAGAAAGGGATGCGTTGCTGAGGAAACAAGAGACAATAAGTCTTGAACGGAGCTGTAATCTAAATCTTGTCACTTAACTTTCACAGGTCTTACCTCCCTCCCCTACACGGACAATAAACTTAATACTTCACGCTTTTGTAGCATTTCTCTTGTGTCTAGCAGTATGTAATCCAGATATTGTAACCTCAACTTCAGACATGCAACACACACACACACACACACACACACACACACACACACACACACACACACACACACGAGAGCACATGTATTCACAGATGGATGAAAAATACTTACTTCTATTTCCATATGGATGCAGCTTGCTAATCCGTCTCTTGCAATACCTTCTACAGTATCCCTGTTTAATCCGTAATTGTGGTTACCATAATTAAATGTTAGAATAAACTTCCCCTGAAATTAGAAAAGTACAAAGATTTGCACATAACAGGTGCTGTAATGTGATGATAAAATCACTTGATGTCTTACTTTCATCTGATTCCATACAGATTAAAAAGAGTTAGTAAATACATCAGAATGGCACAATGGTGATGGGAATCTCAGAACATCAAACTCTGATGGGGGTTATTCATAATTCTTCCCGATGAAAATAAGGTTTATTGAAATAATCTATTGACAAAATATTTGAGGAAGGTTATGGGCAGAAGCTTCTGGAAGAACAGACCATGGTGCTTGTTTACCTATTTCCTGCCAAGTCCACATCACAAACCTCCATTGTCAAGGGAGGAAAGCCAATGGCTTGCCCTTTCCTGCAGTTACGCCAGCATCCCAGGGCTCCAGAAAAGGATCCCAGTCTAAACTCCTTGCATTTCAAGGTAAGCCACGAGGAATGGGTAATCCTGAATGCTGTGGGCATCCTAAAAGTTTGGAAAAATCGATTCAGCCTGGTTTTCCTCATAAAGATGGCTTTTGATTGAAACTGTCCCCAATGTTAGACAACAGAATTGTTACACAGCCTAGAGCCATTTAACTATAAATACTACCCTCTCTGCATATTCTGGAGGCTCCCTTCCTGTTATAACTGTATTCCCTTGCAAAAAAGAAAAGAAAATGTAGGTAAAAATATACCCTTCAAATTGTGACTTTTCTTTAACTATTTATTAACCATTAGATATAACCTAAACTGGGAAGCAGATTACAGTAGAAAGAATAAAAATGTGGTTGACCTTGGTAAATGTGTCTTCTGAAACGCATGACTTTAAAATAAATAATGCTCAGGGATGCATCCAAACCTGTTAAATGGCAGGAACACCATTAAAAACAGCAAGTGGTTAGGAGTCTAATACTGTCATCCTTAACAGCAGCAGCCACAGCCGCAGCCGCAGCCGCAGCCTAAAGCCTCTTGCTACCCTCCTGGCTCCAGATGTTCTGGAGATATGTATAGATGACAGACTGGCTATCTGCCAGAGGGATGTTAGGCAGGAGACACAGGATGCCTTTTGGGTTGATGGGTTTCTGGGGAATGTTTGTGCTGGCGGGGGGTGGGGGGCAGGCAGGCGGGAATAAAGAAAATCATCCCAATCAAAGATAAAAACCCAACAACATTTGCCCTTAGTTTTTAACTCTTTTGATGTCATAATTGCTTTATTATTCTTTGAAAAAAATATTCTGACTCTTTTTCCCTACGTATGCATGTATTTAAACATGTGCACCTATGCATGTTGACAATACAGCTATGGCTTGCCTTTCATGTTTTAGCTTATTTACCATATGTGATGGTTAAGTTCATGGGTCAAATTGGAGAATATTTGGGGGTGAGATTAACAGTGAAATCAGTGAAGCTGGAAGCAGCAGACTGTCCTGGGGTGTGGGCGGACTGCATCCAATCCCTTTAAGGCTTATACAGAACAGAAAGGTCACACACAAATGTTCTGTTTCTCCAGAGAACTCTCATACTCGATTGTGAGCCCTGTTTCCAAACTGTATGCGTATCTGAATCACTTTTCAGATCCCTTTGTTTGTTTACTTCCTCTGTGGATCTCATAAACACTTTCTGGAAGCTTGCATGATTGGAAGAGACTTTGCATTGTGTGTACAATATACAATATACAATATACAAGAGATCCCATTCAGCCAATTTATTAAGCATTGAGATGATGCAATTCCGCCAGCTCTGGCAGGTTCACTCCCTTCATTTTCTAGAACATGTGGGTTCCCTAATAAGTAGCAATGATCACACAACCAAATCCTCCAGTGGTTTCATTTCAGGAGAGGGAGGGCTTCTGCAGTAAAATGAGTAAGCATTGTTCCTCTAGAGAGGGCTGGTACCTATCTGGGGATTGGTAGGGGGAATGATCTGTTGGTTGGAGGAAGTGTTGGTTGAACAGACATTGTCAACATGAGAGAGGGTGGAGGTCCATATGCTTTCTCCATCTAGCAGCTAGGTGTGGCTGCTCGCAGAAAGTATGTGGGGTGGACAGGCCAGAGTGTCTGGCAGGAGAGCCAGGCTGTCTGGGCAGCTGGTGTGCAGAAGGATGACAGTGAAGGGTCTCTTCATGAAACAGTGTCACACTCTAAAGAAAAGGAAATTAACATCCATATTGAGATGGAGAGGGTGGGGGGTGCTGGGGGCTTCCATCCTAGGGTGCTGAAGAAAGTCTTCGTAGTACTATGCAGAGATATCTCAAATCTCTTTTAAAGGCTTTTAGAAATACAAATTTCCAGGAAACTCTTAATAAATCAAGCAGACCTGTCCAAATACAGTCCTATGAGAAGACACACGATGTTCAAGACATCCTTTTGACAGGATTATACGGAGAGCTGCCTAGGGAGTATGGGACTCGCTCACTTGTGTTTCTGTGAATACAAGATGAGCCCTGAGAACACGCACCATGGTAGAGTTGGCTGCCCAAAATTGAGCTAATGTAATTGCACAGCCTAAGCTTAAATGTTCCATGATATGTACCCTGGAGGTTTAAGCCAGGTCCATTGTTTTGGGGTAAAAACAGAGAAGAGAAAAGGAGAGTGAGGAGTTGTAGTACTCTGGGCTGAATGCTGACCACCCACGGCATGAAGACTGGTCCTCAGTAAGCTACATAGGAGGATGAAGAGGTGCGCGCTCCACTTGGTGGAAGGAAGGACTGTGATGATGTAAACAAAACTAAGGTTCATGTGAAGAAAAAGTAAGGGGCACATATTTGCTAGGAGTTATGGCGATCAGAGACGCACTTTCAGGGTAAGGAAGTCGGGCTGGGTCTGTATTGCATTGGTGTGTACTTACTACTGGTAAAACACACTCAGTTGTGAGCATTCCCTTCCACGTGGAGGCAAAGAGGAAACGGGGCTAAAGAAAATGCACGTGGAGCCAAGGGGATTGTGCCATCCTCAACGATGAGCTCATCGAGGTGCAGAAAACTTTCAAATTGAACCAGACTTAGAAAGTGAACAACATTCACTCTTTACCTTCTCAGGCATCACCATTTCCTCCTATTTCTGACAGAGAACATGGATTTCTTCTGTGATTAAGAAAAGGGAGAAAATAGCAGGCAGCGGCCTTACCATGCTCAGCATTTCATCAAAAACTTCTTGAGAGATAAAGTGATAATCAACCCGATCCCCTTCACCGAAGTATGGCGGTCTCGTGGTGTGGCAGGCCCTGGAGCCACAGAAACAGAGAATGCCGATCATAAGTCATAAAGTCATAAAGTAATTGGGAAAACGGTGTACCTTAGAAGTCTTAGACATAGTCAATCACTATCATCTCTGAGGACTATACACATTTTGGCTCATCAATACCCAATTTTTCCTTACATTATTTACCGCCTTCTGAATCACCCCCTCTGCCAGTACATGATGACAGTTTGAGGAGCATCCCGGGACCCGTGCTCACCCAGCTGCTTTCATGTTCTCTCTGATCTATGAGCATGTCCTGCCGGCTCTCCTCCTCTTTCTACATGGCCACTTGTTTCTCAGGACTAGGTTTCAGTGGTAACTTCCCCAGGCTTCTCCTAACGTCCTTTGGGTCCTTTGGTGTAGCTCGCAGGTCTTTATACTCCCACAACTCAGCCAACACCAATTCTCGAGTGCTTGTTCGGGGTCCATCTCTCCCTCATTCTCCCTGGCCTGTGGCTTTGTACTAGACTTATACATGAGCCTCTGTGGGAACACATGGTTCAAGTGGTGAATGAATTCTTAACCAGAGAGGCTTTGTCTATCCACTGTCTTGAGGCAGCATTGCTTAGTACACACACACACACACACACACACACACACACACACACACACACACACACACTCTGAAACCTCCTTTCGTAGTTTTTCCTGTCTTCCCAGCGCAATGTGTATCTGGGGAAATCTTTGTCCCCTACTTTGTCACTGCACAGAGCAGGCATGGCATTTGTTGAATTCATTGTGACATCAGGGGAAAGTAAAAGGTGTGAAGTGGTAACAGCCACAAAGCCTACCATTATAAATAAAGGTGACTAAGGAAGCGGTCAGTCCAAGGTCACGCTGCGTATTACTTTAAGGGTGTGTGTTTAATGATGTAGAGATGTGCTGCATTTGATTCCCTTGCCTGCCTAAGGCAGCTGACTGGCCTAATACAGAGCTGAATGGCCAATAGCTAGGCCGGAGAGAGGAGAGCAGAGGCTGACAAGCAGAGAGAATAAATAGGAGGGGAAATCTAGGCACGAGAAGGAAGAATAAAAGGATAGAGAGGGAGAAGCCAGGGGCCAGCCCCCCCCCCAGCCAGCCATGGAGTAAGAAGGAAAGAAAGATGTACAGAATGAAGAAAGGCAAGAAGACCAGAGGCAAAACATAGCTAAAGAGAAACAGGATAATTGAGTTAGAAAGCTGGCTAGAAATAAACCAAACTAAGGCAAGGCATTTGTAACTAAGAATAAGTCTTTGTGTCTTTATCTGGAAGCTGGGTGGAGCCCCCCCCCAAAAAAAAAAGAGGAAAAGCCAAATACATTCTTCCACTTTCCCAATATTAAGTTCTGGTGATAAGAGTGGATCTTGGATTATGTAAAAGTTCTAAAGTAGGAGATGTGAATCGATAGATGCTTGACATGCTAAATCATTTACCCCCCCAAAAAAACCCACAGAGCAGATATTATTTCTTATTTTACAGATGACAAACTGAACACAGTGATTTACATGGAACTAAGCAGCCATGCCAGGACAACTCCAGTCAACTTCTATAACGACATACCAATTAAGTGGCCTCCACATTACAAAGTCAAAAACACAGATTTAAAATTCATACAATGGTTTCCTTTATGTTATAATCAAGAACTCACTGTAGCTGGAAAATTTCAGGTCTCAATGTTGCGTTTACAGTGTAGACACCAGAAATGGAGTACATTCAAAACATGGTGACATTTGTTTTGTTATTGGAACACATTGGCATTTCTCCCTGTGCCAAGAGACCTGGGCCCTGCTGTCTGTTGGTGTCCCTGACAGTCAGAGGAGATAAATCTGTGGTCTGGTATCCATGGCTGCACACCCTCAGCAAAATCTTTACACGCTACACTGAATTTACATTTCCCAACAAAGGGATTGAGTGGCAGGGAGTTTTGAAGAATCTCTAGAAGGGGACTAAACAAAGACACAATTTGAAACATGTGGACAGGTAAACGAAGAGATGGCTCCAGTCATGTGGAGAATGGGCATGAGGACTGGTGACGGCTGTGGGACCTTCTATTAAAAAGGACCCAAGATGACCTGTGGTCTTTTCAATCTGTCACCCAATTTTACACACAGAAACCTCCACTGTGTCTATGCTGCCCGACTGTGAACATCCCGATAGGGAAATACTTCACGGTAAAAGCATCGTTTCACTAAGCTCAGTTAGGAACAGCAGCATCGAATTTAACAGAAATGGATTTCTCTGGGCCCTCCCCTTCAGCATCGCCGTCCCCCCCGCCCCCGCATATTTCTATGACTTTATTACTCACTAATTACATAATGAAATCGTAATACGTAATGATATCATGGCTTATAATGGGAGCCACACTCCCTGTTCGTTTCTCTTTACCACCAAAATGACTAAGCTAGGGACTTCATGTCTGATGACAAAGGACTAAGGGAGCTTTGGCATTCCAGAGCGAGCTCTCACCAAAGCCCCTAACAATTCATGCCCATGGAAAGGACACTGTCAGGAAGGAAAGGGATTTGGATGGCCATCCCTAATATTGGTGTTCTAAAGTACCTAGGGCAAGATGACAGGATGGAAAGATGTCCAAGAACAAAGAGTGAGCAGGTGTCTAAGGAGGTTGGCCATGTGGGTGTGACTCACACACACAGATTTAGAACCTCGGTTCTGGACTAGGTTGTCTCTGGAAACCATGAGCAGGACAGCAAGTCCTGTAGCAATATTTAGGCAGAGTTTGGCCGCGTACCCATGATTCAAGCACAAGGTAGTATGCCACATTGTTATGACTTCTCACAATGTGTAGCCATGAAAGTCCCGGTGACAGTGGAGATTATTATAAAACAGAGGTGGGGGAGAAATGAAGTGCTTCAGGTCATGTAACTGGCCTTAAAACTGGAAGATGGTCTAGTTTGGTGGGACCTCCTTCATCCAATGCTTTTCCAGGAACTCTCTGGCTTGTATGACAATATGGAGTTAGAAATAAATAGACAGTCAGGTGGTGGTGGATGTGCACACCCTTAATCCTAGCACTCAGGAGGCAAAGGCAGGTGGATCTCTGTGAGTTCAAGCCCAGCCTGGTCTACAGAGCGAGTTCCAGGACAGCCATAGCTTCACAGACAAACCCCTCTCAATAAACCAAATAAAGAAATAGACTTGGAAGGCAGTAACTTTTATCTCTCAGTAGCCACTACTAACACAGGTAAAGAAAGGACATCTGGCTGATTTCTATGCCAAGAAGAAATAGTGAAACCAATGCCCAGTCACAGTAGAATGCCTCAGCCCTACCACTGTTCGTTACATAGCAGAATTATGTTTATCCATACCTCTGTACATGCAACTTAGCATGTGAGAATGACATTGAATGTCTTGATCTTGGTGAATGTCATTTTTAAAGAAAAATAAAATAAATAGGAGGGAGAGAGAAGGGCCGAATAAATAGCCAGGAAAATGTCGTACAATGAGACTGTATCCATGGCTTCTTCCATTTAATTAAAAACCTATGATCAATGTGGGATAAGGAGCATTTAAAAAAACAAACAAGCAAAACCCTCTCTAACCGAGAGCGACGGGTTGTCCCTGAAGACGTTTCTCTATAGTTTTAATCAGAAAGTGACTTTGTGTAATGACACACTATCTTAGTCTTCTAGATGGATGAAGCCACTGGCTATCTAATGCCCATCTTTGTGATCTGAGGACATAGTCTAGGGCAGAATTCTTAGAATGACTTGCCACTGGCTCTCTGCCTCCATGGGGATGCCGAGGTACAGTGGGTGGACCCGCTTCTGAGCCTCTGAGGGAGGGGGACGGTGGCAGGAGCCGTTGGTGGCAATGGATACTCATCACCAACTCCAGGCAGGAGAGCCGAATCCCAGTGGCAGCATCAGCAGTGCAGGCACAGCGTCCATTCTGAGGGGCTTGCTTTACCACCTCACACCGCGCACAGATCTACACAGCACATTGTTACACACCGCACAAGGAAGGGGCCGCAGCGGTCTCTCTCACTGTATCACCAGGGTCTACAACAGGGGAGCAACTCAAGCAATACTTGCTGAATGAGTTCATTCGTCCACACATCCGCTTCTCCACAGACCCATCAGGAAAGCCATCTGCACTGCCTGGCACCTGCCATTTCAACTACATTTGCACACGTGGAAATTAACCTGGCTGACCGTTTGTTCAGTCAGTCTGCCAGTCATTTAACAAATGTTTGTTACACATGTATGAAGCACCTGGTCATATGTTAGACAGCAAGGGCTCACTGGTGAGCAAGGCTGATGTGGCCACTCCTCTTCCTGGCTTAGACAAGCCAGGAAAAAAGGACCCTGATGAAACCAATAGAATCGGGATGGGTAAGCATTTTAATAAGGGACATACGGGAGTGGGTGGCGATGAGTAACTCAGCCGGATAAGAACATATGAGCAGACTTAATTACAAATATTGATGGTAAGTCAATAAGCATTTTGAAAAACATATCAGACCAAGCACACCTTGGACCAGGCCACCGACTATTTGCCAGATGCCGCTACAGACATGGCAGCAATAAGAGAAAGCCCTGGTTCCCTAGGTTGAGTTGGTTTGGTTTGCTAAAATGTTGCAAATTTTAGCACAATGGTCAGCATACACCCTACCACTCTAGTTTGACCTTCTACTCACTGCACTCAGCTTATCTCTGAAAGCAGGCTGGGTTTCCCCAGGTGGACATAATGGCACTAAGCTTTTTAATGCTAGCATTAACTTTGAGCTTATTTTTGTTACTTTGTAATATTTACATTCTATAGTGAGTTGCAATTTTAAGCATCTAAATAAATGGGCCTTTTAAAGATGCCATTCGCATTGTTTGAACATACACAGCTGTAGGAGGGGACTTTTTCTGTAACAGCGTTAGGAACTCATTTTTCTTACAGGCCTATGCTACTTTGTGGTTACATCTTCAACTCCACTGGCAGACACCACTATTTCAAAGTAATTCCTTTGCCACATGGAAGGATCGAAGAAGAAACAGACCAGACAGTTCAATTCTAAATGTGATTTCCAGAAACTTCTAAAACACCTCTAAGTCTGTCTAATGGGCTGGTTTTCTCAGATATATTCCGTGTGTGTGTGTGTCCATCTGAGAAATATGTATGTATGTATGTATGTATGTATGTATGTACATACATACATATATTCATTTATTTTGATATGGGAACCCTTGAGCTTGTTGAGCCACTGAGGGAAGGGATAGGAAAGACTTGTGCTACCCTGTCCCTGCTGCTATGTGCCTCTGGAGAGGAGACACAGGACTCCAGAGCTGCCAGCCAGCAAGTGTCCCAAGCCCTGCTGGGGACTGACTGTCCCTGGAAGACAGCCCAGCAGGTGGCATTAGCAGTGCACCTCCAGAGGCTGCACTGTTGTCTAGCAATCCCCTCCTAACTGAAGGATTCCATTAAGACTCAGGGAGTTCTGAAGGGAAGTAAGTGCCTTCAGACTCCGGGAGTACATCCCCAGGAAGTACCAGACACGCCATTCGTGAGCATGCTCCCCCTCACCCACCCAACTGCCCCACCCGCCCTGCTCCCCCCACACCTCCATCTGGCCTAAGCTGAGATGGACTGTAGAGATGGTGATGTCGCTGCCTTTCACTGCCCACACTACTGTTGATAACCTCAATAAACCCATCAGTTCTATAAATAGGTCTCTAGCGGAATCACTACCTTGGTCTGCCATAGATTCCCTACCTGGGACCAGTAGACATCTGTTCACCTCTCCTCATCACACAACAGCCAGACCTTAGAAGGACACTTCCTTCAAACACCACTGTGCTCAATTAAGATCAGGATTTTCAGATCTTTCAGAGTGATTTGAGTTGGCATTGCATTAATTTAAACATTTGAAGGATTAAATATAAAACCCTATGTAGATTACAGTTCAATAAATGGCAAAGAAGCTAGGAGAACCTGCATGGGAAAGGTTTGTAGAGGAATGAGTGTGCCCTGCTTGTTTATGTGTTTGGCTGGTCAGCTGGTCACTGAGATATATTTACTACTGCTCTTGGCAAAGACAAATGTTTCTTTTCGCTAACTGATAAGTTCTATAATTTGTACTGTATTATTTAGAATGGCAGGTGAAACAAGATTCCAGATCAGGCAAGAGAAGGTATTCCTACCAATCTAATTGTAGCAATATGGTGGTTGGCATGTCTGAGGACTTATCTACCTAATGTTCACTTTACTTGCCGTTTCTAGCTTTTACATGTAACTTAAATAAATTGTTACATCTGTGTAAGAATTTGCTTAAAGCAGACAGAGCTAACAACATCTGAGAACTTTGTAGAAAGAAACTACTGATGTCCCCCACAAGGCTGAAGACTCTCCAAGACTTACACACCAACAGGCAAACTTACCCGTATCTGAAGTAAGTATTAAACTGTCTGCAGAGGCGGTGGGCGAGTTCGCGTTTGCCACAAGCTGCAGGACCAGTTAAAATCAGCATGGGATAAGGGGCATCCAGACTGGGCAGAGTGCTGCAACAAGATCCAGCAGAGATGCTGCGTGTTAGCCACCCGCTCAAGTTTTCTACATCACAGATATACTTAACAGTGCCTGCTGAATGCAGGCAAGCAGAAGGATGGCTCCGTTCTCCAGAAACAGGGTTATAATATACCAAAGGCAACATCTGGGGCTAGAGACACAAGGGACTAAGGGCACTTATTGCTCTCCTAAGAAGACCCAGGTTGGATTCCCAGCACCCACATCTAGCAGCTCACAGCCAACTATAACTCCAACTCCAGGGGACTCTGATATCCTCTTCTGACCTTCACAGGCACTTACACACACATGATGCACTCATGCACACTCAGGCACACGCACATATACAACAAAAAATAAAACATAACCTCCCATTCAAAGATAAAGGTACAATGCAAATTTCTCTCAATTTACTTTACCAAGTTTTTCTAAAGGGAAAACATGCAAGGACACTTGAGACCCTGGTTGCTAAGGTGTTTCTTCCTCTGGAATTCACCAATGAGCGAAGTGAGTGAGTTCTGAGGTCGGTGCTCAGCATCCCTATCCACTGCCTTAGAGCACAGTGGCCGTTACCATACCAAACGCAAGGCACTGATCTACAAGTTCTCCATGTCCCTTGCAGCATAATTACCACAGAGTGAAGGAGGCTGTTTCTATCATTCCTTGTTTAACACAAGGTAGAGCAAAGCAAGGCAGTTTGACTTGTTCAAAGGAAAGGAAGGGCTGGTATGTGACTCTAGACTGGAAGACTAAAGAATAAAAGTATTGCCTGCCATAGTGGCACAATCCTTTAATCCCAGTCCTCGGGAGACAGAGGCAGGAAACTCTCTCTGTGAGTTCAAGGCTGGCTTGGACAACTTAGCATATCCAGGCCAGCCAGAGTTACATAGAGAGACCCCATGCTTAAAACAAAAATGATTGTAGCCTGGTCTTGACCCCATTTTCTTATCATTCCTCCCTCTCTGCAACTGGATTCCAGGAGTTCAGCTCAATGTTTAGCTGTGGGTGTCTGCTTCTGCTTCCATCAGCTACTAGATGGCTCTAGGATGGGATAAACAGATACAGCTGACCTGAACAAGGGGGAGCTCATGGACCCCAGACTGATAGCTGGGAAACCAGGATAGGACCAACTCAGAACCCCTGACCATGGGTCTCAGAAGGCCCGGGCAGTCTAAGGGACCTCTGATAGTGGAACCAGGATGTATTCCTGGTGCACAAAAGGACTTTGGGAGCACCTCCCCCATGGAGGGATAGTCCCTTAACCTAGAGGCAGGAGGGAGGACCTAGACCCTACTCCAAATGACTTGACAGATTGTGATGATCCCTCCTGGAAGGCATCACCCAACATGTGGAGTGGGGGGGGGGGGTGAGATGGGAGAGGGATGGGAGGGGGAATAGGGAGGGAGAGGGACCTGAGATCGATATGTAAAATCAGCCTAAATACCATTCACATGTGAATGATTAAATTAATGCTGACACCTATGCCCTGGAATATTGCTTACCAATAAAAAAAAAAAGATTCAGCCCCCCCTCCAAGGATGAATTTCCAAGAAGGTAGCCTGCATGAGCTGGGAAGTTGAGAGTCTTAGGGTTATTTACCCTGTGTGAATTCTGTACATCACACTCTTGAAGTGACAATATTTATGAGATGGGGGTGGATCCATGGCTTCCAGGGATGAGAGAAGATGAGGAAGGGAGGGAGGGATAGAGGAGCCACAGATTATCTGGGAGCACCACAGGGAGGCCTGGGATGAAGCATCTTGAGTGTGGTGCTCGGATGGCAGACTCCTGTTGAAACTTGGCAGACCCAGACAGGGCTGAGAACACAGAAGACCCCGAGGGGCTAGAGAATCCTGGTGACTGACACGGACAGCTTCTGGGCCAGTCTCCTGGCTTTGGTACTTGCCTAACCCTTGTCCTGGGTGCCACCATTGTGGACTATGCTAGAAAGGTACACAGTCTGTGTATACCATTTCCTACAGCTGCATGTGAATCCCCAAAAAGAGGGACACTGATTTTCCAACAATGAAATATACAGTTGACAGGCCACATGTCCAAACCACTAGTGCCTTCCTTCAGCTGCCAGGGGCCGCTGTGTCCTATGCAGCCGGAAGGGCAATGGCTGGCCTTCCTGGCAGCCACTGATGGAGAGCTGTGAACCACAATCTACACCTACTGGACCTCTGCCCTTGTTTTTCTGGCAGCCAGATGTGACCAAGAAATACATGTTTATCAAACGCTACTACTGATGTCTTTGACACATGTTCTTACATAAATACATCCTAAAGCATCGAACAAGCAGCGAGCGACATTACAAATCAGGGAAGAGACCTTCTCTTCAGTCAAATGTACTTTTCCTTGATGCACACAACGGAAGGCTAGATCATCTCACCCGGAGGGCTCTCATAGACATGTTAAACCGTCAGTGTCAACATGACTACATTGTATGTAAAAACCGTGTCCGGGGCTGTGAAATAAGACATTCTGCTCTCTTGTGGGAAGCCACAAGCGCGTATATCCAAGAGCTTTACAAGTATTTTTAAAATGCCTGTGGGTATTGATAGATTTCTATGTTATACTTATGGCATAAATGGCCATCTGCTCTGACAGACTGTTTAAAGAGAAATGGAGAAAGGATGGTAAATCTGTCTCGGGAGCTGGAGGTGAGAGACTAGATTCATGTGCATAGCCAGGCAAGGCTGTGTTGATGGCAGGCTCAGCAGAGACTCTCAGGTTTCTCTGAGGTGAGCTTGGCTTCCTTCTAGGTACTCTCCTAAAAAATCTGACCTCATAGAGGGCTCGCTGGCAGGAGTATTTAGCATGAGCTGACAGTTAAGGACTGGCTTACAACGGACGGATGGCATGACGGTTCATTGTGCCTGCCAGCCTGTCTGGGTGAAATTAGCCAGGCACACCACACACCTTTGGGTGCATTTTTTTTGAGGGGTTTTTCCAGACAGATTAACTGGCGGGAATATGACCCATGTGTGTGGCACTGTGTTAGTTACTTTTTGCTGTGATAAAATATCATGACCCAAAGCAACTAATGACAGGGGACGTTTACTTGGGGCTCATTGTTCTAGAGGAAGAGTCATGATGGCAGGGGGAGAGGGGGGCAGCAAGCAGCTGGAGAAGGATGCTCAGAGATTGCATCTTATTCTCAAGACCCTTCCCCAGCAAGGCTGTACCCCTCAACAGTTCCATAACTTTTCCTAAACAGCACCCCCAGCTGAGGACAGGTGTTCAAATCCGTGTGCCCACAGGGGCCATGTCTCATTCAAACCACCACGGCTGCCACCCAGGACTGACTGTCTATAGATATGGAGGAAGGAGGAAGCTAACTGCATTGTCAGCCCCACTTCCTGATGTGCCCGGACGTAAGAAAGTTCCCTCTGCAGCTCTTCTTGGCAATTGTCCCTGCTTCGACTCTGCCTCCCAGTGACGGGGCGTGCCCTCTCAAACCCTAAGTCAAAGCCTGTCCCTCTACTCCTGCGCCACTTTTGATGGACCCCCAAAGCACTTCATCGTCAAAGCAACAAGAAAAGTGATCTGTGTGTTCACAAGGGACACACGTTTTCTGTTGATGGGTTCAAGCTCTGTGTGTTTCTGCCCTCAGAAGAAGAGCATACGTACACCTTTGACTTGAGAATCACTGCCAAGCTGGGATACAAGGGACCCAGTGGACCCAGTCAGACCGCCATTATGTCTGGGAAAGTCAGCAAAGTGAAAGGACACTCGAGAGCATGATGACAGGCCACGGTGGGAGGCTCGGCCCCTCACCCCTGACTATTTCATGTGCACAAGTGTTTTGCCTACATGTGGTCTGTAGTCCAGTCCGTGTACCATGTGTGTGCTTGGTATTCGTGGAAGCCAGAAGAGGGTGTCAGATCCCTTGGGACTGGAGTTACAGACAGTTGTGAGCTGACATGTGGGTCTAGGAATTGAACCCGGGTCCTGTGGAAGAGCAGCCAGTGCTTTAAACCTGTGAATCATCTCTCTAGCCCTGAGAAGACAGCTTCTATAGAGAAAGTGCATCACATGGGAGGGAGGGAGGGAGGGAGGGAAGGAGGGAGGGAGGGAGGGAGGGAGCGAGGGAGTGAGGGAGAGAGAGTGAGAGAGAGAGAGAGAGAGAGAGAGAGAGAGAGACAGAGAACAACAATCCTGTCTCTTTCTTGCTCACTGCAGAGTTCCACCTGTAGGGGCCCTAATAAATACCTGTCAAAGATCCTCTGTGGCTGTGACATGCTGTTGACAACATGGGTCATGTGATCTCGGGCAGCGACCACTTCAGGGGGAGGGTCATACTTATTCACTGCAGTAACCTTTTCCGGAAGTAAAGAGAAAGGAAAAAGGAGACATGTTTGCTTCCCGAAGGAACACAAGGGCTGTCTGTAGTGAATGTCCTAGCTCTGCCACCTAGATTGGCAAGTCACACAACCCCCAGCCTTGCCCTCACTCAGCCTTTCCGTCAACTCTAGCTTTGCTAAAATGCCAATAGTGACAGTGACTGTGAAAAGCAGAGTACAGCCTTTGGTCCTCTTTTTCTTTATATTCCCTGGTTTGGGAGGAGCGAAAGAAAAAAGTCTGAAGTACTCCGTGAATGTTAATACAATAAACAATCAAACTGCTAGAATGAGAAGACGGAATGCAGTGTACTGCTCAAGATGCCACGGAGTGGACAGCAGAGAACTGTTTTCTGACATCTCCTTGCCCAGGACTGTCCTCACTCTCTCCCAGACCTGTTCCTCCTTACCCTGGCTTTCTCCAGCCACGGACACAGGCTCTTCCCTTTGTGTAGAGGCCTCTCTTCACGGACCTCCTAAATAACATTATCCCTTTATTTACTGGTGACTTCCATTTTAATTCTACTTGTAAAATGTGAAAAGGGGCCCATACCCTGTGGCTGGGAGTGTGGAACTAAGGATGGGGAAGAAGCATCTGGAACTATTTTTGGTGCGGGCTGCAGAAAGGCATTTATGGGGTAGAATGTGTGTGCCTACCTCTCTATACCTTGTTTTCATTCCCATCTCAAATTGGATCTGGTATAAGAAGCTTGTCATTAGCAGCTATGCCTGCCACAGCTGTGGGAGGGATGGAGGGAGGGAGGGGGGAGGGAGAGAGGGAGGGGAGAGGGAGGGAGGGAGAGAGGGAGGGGGAGGGATGGAGGGAGGGATGGAGGGAGGGATGGGGGAGGGGGGAGGAAGGAAGGGAGGGATGGAGGGAGGAAGAGGGAGGGATGGAGGGAGGGATGGGGGAGGGGGGAGGGAGGAAGGGAGGGATGGAGGGAGGAATGGAGGGAGGGAGGGTGGAAGGAAGGGAGGGATGGAGGAATGGAGGGATGGAGGGAGGGAGGGAGGTGCTGGCCAGTCAAGAACTGTTCGGATTAGCGGGACCATTGCGGGACCATTGTAAAGAGCCAAAGTAAAGAAGCTACACTATCAGAGTAGTGACTTGAACACCTTTAGATTACATCAAATGACACGCTCCATTTCATTGTTCATTTTCAAAATAACATAGATGGAATTTCGGACTCTGCGATCAGGTGGGGAAGCTATGCATACTGCTATCAGCCACGCCGGCCGGGCATGGACAGCAGCAGTGGAGTGGGCACCAGTGCTCCTCACTGCCAGACTTCCCATTGTACCCTGGGAACTCCTGTCTCTGCACATGTTGGGAGCCAGCCTAACAGGGGCCTCAGCTGACAAATCCTAGCACCAGGAAGTGGCTCCTGAATAAAGAATGGATTTGCATACTGCGCTTCCCCGGGACTGGTCACACTAGTCCTGCTGCAAGCAACATGCCTTTTGTGAGCACATTAACCAGAAAAGACATGAAGCAGCATGATTACATACCTTTTCTTCCACTTTAATCTTCTGCTGATCTAATTCTGTCAGGCGCAGCAGCATAAATATTACAAAGAACCAGTAGTCGGATTTGTTCTATTAAAAACAAGAGGACTATTCAGTGGCTTTTCCTCTTCCCCGGGTCAGCAAACACCAGCCCCTTTTCGGGGACTTTCTATTCTGTCTGGGCCTTTCAAAACCTGCTGCCATGACCCTGGTCCCCCTACACACACACACACACACACACACACACACACACACACACACACACAGCGATCTGCATTTTCATGCTCACCAGCCCCCTTAAATTAACAACCAAGGTGCAGAATGTGTCCTAAAATTTATAAAGCTCTTCAAATGTTCAATCTCCCTAATCTCCCCATGAGATAAGCAGGGTGGCAGGATTATCCTCTGGGGCAGATGCTGAGCCTTGAAGAGGGGGGCATCTCATCTACGACACCAAACTTTCCTCTTCTAATGCCAGAGTTTCATTACTGAAAGTAATGACATTTGACTATTTCTTATTAATTCATCGCGGGCTTATTATTTATTGTGTTCTTTCGTATCACTTGGGATCATTCATTATGAACTTGCCTTACAATAATAAAATGTTACTGGCTTATGAACAAATTCCTCTTTACTCCCTGCCAGCTGTTGGGGTTGCCTGGCTTTAGAGTGGTAACTGAGGGGCTTGTTTGTTTGTTTGTTTGTTTGTTGGTGTAAGATGCTTCTTAAAGGACCAGGTAAGAGACTTTCAAGTGCAGGCTTTCCTGGACCTGGGGCAGTTGACAGTGTGTTGACCATGAAAGACAATCAGGCTCCTATCCTCTCCAAAAGCAAGCTGTTTGGAATGTTAGTTCATGTAGCTGTTCCAATTATTTTCAGAGAGGTGGGGGTGGAGGAGCTGCATTCACATCCCTGATGCCCCTTATCAAGAGCACAGGCTGGACAAGAATTCCAAGACTGGTCCCTGCTCCTTTCCCCATCCCACTTCTGACAAAAATAAACTCTCACCTGGATTGGATTCTTTAGCAGATTGAGGACTCGAAGGATAGGAAGATTTTCAATGTATTCTATTTCACTCAGCTCCTCAATCTATTTGATCAAAAATAAATTTATTATCAACAGACAGCTGGCAAAGACAATAGGGAACGCAATATAATAGGAGCCAATATGATTGGCTCCTTTAAATCTAATTTATTTCAAACGTGTCCGGTTGAGCATCCAGCTTTTTGATGAGAATGCTCCAAAGCCATTGCAGAGCACAGGAAATTACTGCACAACTTCAGTAGGTGTGAGCACGCAGGGCCCCATTTTCTCCCATCCCCGTGGGCTGGAGAACAGTAATCTCCCTCTCCATATCGATTTTAAGTAGGACTAAAATAGCATGGGAAGTAAGAGAAACTGAACAGCTGCCTCATTGCAGCCCTCCAAGCTCTGACTTCACTCCTGAGCCAGTTCCTTCTCTCTGCCATGTCTGTGACTGGCTAAACCTTCTTACTGTGGGAGATATGCAACTCTATGCCTTTCCCATAAGAATTACTTTACAGCAGAAATGATACGATTTGTGTGTTTGTTTTGAGCCAGGGTCTCTCTATGTAACCCTAGCTGGCCTTGAACCTGCGTTATACAGTGATATATCATTTATGATTTACTAAAGCTTGCCTGAAGATTCAGAAAGCAAAGTCAGCCACAAGCCATAGAAGCCAGGCACACACCTTTAATCCCAGCATCCAGAAGCTAGGAGGTGGTGCTCAGGATTAAGAGGTAGATGGATCTCTGTGAGTCCAAGGCCACCCAGATCTACACAAGCTTGATCCAGTCCTAAAGGGAAACAGCTTGCACAAAGATGATCTCAGCACCTGGGATCCCATGCTTTTAATCGCAGCAAGGTCTTAGTATAAGGCATTCATTCTCCAGCCACACTGAGGATAGGAGCATTTATTCTCCAGCCACATTGAGAACAGGAGCACCCCAGCCCTGTTAGAGGTAAGAGCTCCCTGGTAGCTTGGCTGCTTTGCTTTCCTGATCTTCAGTTTGAACCCCAGTATCTGTCTCTGGTCATTTATTTTTCATGCAACACCATTATATAGACCAGCTTGGCCTTGAACTCACAGAGATCCTCCTGGCTCTGCCTCCCAAGAGCTAGAATTAAAGGTGTTCACTACCCCACCCCTGGCTGTATGATCTATTTGTGATGAATGTCCACCTGCTGACTAAGAACTTCGATGCCTAGGTTCTAGTTTACAATTGAAAAAAAAAAAAAAAAAAAAAAAAAGGAACTGATTCTCCAGGTGGAGGTGTGGCTTTATTTAGCCAGGGGTACAGCCTGGGTTAAGGCAGTCTTCCATGTCTACGGCAATAATGACAAGTATAGGCTTACTTAAAATTTCTATAATAAACAATTACAATCTTATTGCAGGTACAGATAGTGGATATTGTAATAAATTAGTATTTCTCACAACATTCTGAATGTTTCATTAAAACATTCTTACCAACAGGTTCACAGATAATTTCTGAGTTATCCAAACACAAGTGACACCAAAATGCAAATAAACCCAAAACTAAGTCGGGGGTGGTAAGACACACATATCACGTTCATAGGATGCCATTTCTAATAATGTTAATCAGAAAGGCCAACTCCAAAGTTGCAACATACAGTGCCTCTCCCCAAATTAATCTACCTAGAGAAGTGGCAAGCTATTGTATTAGCTTTATCCAAAAGTAAGATAATGAAATTATCCTTTAGACTGACAGGTGAACCATTTATAATAAAAATAAATCAGTTGCTGTTACACTGACTTTTTTCGGGAAGGTAAACTTGGTTTGTATTTTTCCATCAGCAGTTTTGAGCAATGGGCTTGATGTCTGTGTAGCACACAGCTCTTGCTCCTGCACTTAACACAAACATTAAGAGGGAGCTGGTTCCTGCAGCTGTCACGTCTCACGGACAAGGCCTGGCCGTATGTACCCTGCAGTCACTGCTGCTGAGTGTGGAAAGCACACCTCGTTCCGTGAGTTACATGTACCCAGCCATCCCACTCCAGCGGACTTATGTTACAGAGATCATCACACGGGCAAAAATTACATATGAGACTATTCAGCCTAACTCTAACAGTAAAGACATTTCTAATTTCCTAAGAATCTTATCCATCAGTATGTGATTACATCTCTTATAACATTGTCCTAGAGTGGGAACACTATGTACTCATTTTAGAAAATAGTTAATATGTGTGGTAATTGACACAGAAAGGTCTTGATGCGTCCCAAATGCCAGGACTAGAATAATCATGTACTATAGATGGGTTACGGACAAGGTGTCATGGTCAAGACATCTTTGAACCAAACACAGAGGACGTACCATTCTTCCCAACCCTTCCAAGGGTAGGGTGAGGGCAGAAATAGGAGACCAGCATGGGACAGGGTTCCTGTCAAACAAGTAGCACGCAGTTCTGCTGGCTGTTTGGAACGCGTGCCCCTCCTCACAGACTCACGTCACAGCGGAAGTCACACTCACAGTCCCCCCCACTCCCCCACCCCCCGGCCAGGGCCACAGACCCAAGACTGTATAACAGCAGCCTTCTATCGCAAGTGTAGGAATCACAGTGCCCCAAATCACCGAAAGTCGAAAACTTCAGCCCACTAACGTACTTGGACCCTGGTAGCCACCCTCTAACCCTGAGAAGTCTTGCTATTTTTTTTTTTCTGTTTTTGCCATTTGTTTCTCAGCCATGTTCTTGAAGCATCACTGTGTAGGCCTTTAAAAAGTGATAATGTGTAGTGAGAGGGAGAGAGAGAGAGAGAGAAAAGAGAGAGAGAGAGTAGGGAGAGAGAGGGGGGAGAGAGAGCGGCAGGCATGTGCTCTGTCCTTAGGAAACTATAGATACAATGGTTTAAAGTGTTTTCCACTGCTTCGTACATAAGAATTTGCACAGGAAAGCAACATTTTCAAACTGGGGGATGGAGAAACTAAAGGATGATGATAACAATAAATGTATTACTGAAATAAAAATCAACAGGTGAAATAATAAGGCATAAAATAAGGCATAAAAATTCAGCAAAAAAACATTATGGGGGACTTTTTAGCATGGGAAATATGAATTTAAATCTTTCTAAACTATTAATTAAGAGTTGAAGGCACTGATCTTCCCCCTCCCCGCCTCCAATTTACCCAGGGGATCTTCCTAGGGTGATCTGTGTCTCTCTTAGAGTCCTCTTTGTTACCTCGCTTCTCTGGAGCTGTGGCTTGTAATCTGGTTATCCTTTGCGTTACATCTAATATCCACTTATGAGCAAATACATACCATGTTTATCTGTTTATCTTCCTGAGTCAGCATTACCTCACTCAGGTTGGTTCTTTCTAGTTCCTTCCATTTGCCTACAAATTTCATGATGTCATTGTTTCCCACACTGAGTAATACTCCATTTTGTAAATGTACCACATTTTCTTTATCCATTCTTCAGTGGAGAGGCATCTAGTTGAGCAAATGTCCTTGTGGTATATGCTCAAGAGTGCTATCACTGGGTCTTGAGGTAGATTCCCAATTTTCTGAGAAACAGCCAAACTCATTTCCAAAGTGGCTGTATAAGTCTGCACTCCCACCAGCAGTGGAGGAGTATGGGGAGGGGGGATGAGAACAAGAGGGAACAGGATGTGTGGGGGGCGGAATAGAAGAGCAACGGAAGAGATATCTCCATAGAGAGAGCCACTATGGGCTTAAGGAGAAACCTGGTGCTGGGCTAATTCCTAAGAATCCACAAAACCTCCTAGAAATAGTAGAGAGGATGCCCGAACTGGTGTACCCCAAGTATCATCACAGAGCCTTCATCCAGTAATTGATGGAACCAGATGCAAAGATCCACAACCAAGTACCAGGCTGAACTCCAGGAATCCAGTCAGAAAGGGAGGAGAGATTACATGAACAAGAGAGATCAAGATCATGATGGAAAAGTCTACAGACAGCTGAACCAAGCTCGTAAAAACTCATGAACTCTAGACTGACCGCTATGGAGACTCCAGGGGACTGAACTAGGCCCTCTATATTATAGTGGGAGACAGTTGTGAAGTTTGGACTACCTGAGGGGTCCTGGATCTATCCCTGGTGTATGATCTAGTTTGTTGGAGCTCATTCCGTATGGTGGAATGCCATGCTCGACCTTAATGCATGGGAGAGGGGCTTGGCCTGCCCCAACTTAATGTGCCAGATTCTGTTGACTCCTCATGGGAGCCCTTACCGTGAGGAGTGGTCAGGGGTGAGGGGTGGCCTGGGAGGAGTCAAGAAAGGATGGAAGGAGGGGTGGAAGGGAGAACTATGGTTGGAATATAAAATGAAATTCAAAAAAATAAATTATATTAAAAAAACAGTTGAAGGTATCTAAGTGTGCTGACACATGACTTTAATCCCAGCTCTTAGAAGGCGGAGGCAGCCAGACCTCTGTGATTTCAAGGCCAGCTTGATCTATATGGTGAGTTTCAGGCCAGCTAGTGCTGTCTAGTGAGAAGCTATCTCAAAACAGAAACAACAGTGAAGGAGCTGGAGAGAGAGACGTGATTAAGAACACTGGCTGCTCTTCCGGGAGACCCGGATTCAATTCCAGCAGCCACATGGCAGCTCACGTGTGTATCTCCAGTCCCAGGGCATCTGACTCCCTCTTCTGGTCTCAGTGACACTGCATGCATATGGTACACATACATATGTGGGGGCAAAACATCCATGCACATAAAAAAAAAAAAATGCCCAAAAAAGATGAGAGTGAGTTATGAAAGTCACCCACTCTTATAAGTTTTTTTTTTCTTTTTCTTTTTTTTTTATGGTGAAGAAGGAAAAAAAAAGAGTTGAAAATAGTAAAAAGATACAGGGGAAAATAGTTTATGATAAGCATCTACCAGATCCAGAATGGGGAAAGATTTTGCAAAAAGATAAAAACAATAGAAGAATATTCTACAGAAAATGTCAACATAATCTATACATTATTTTAAATATGTAGCTAAAATACCTTACATACAATAAGAAGCAAATTACAACTGTCATAAAAAATGATGGCTAATAGGAGCAGTGATAATTTTTAAAAAGGAAATAAAATTCAACAAAAGT